ACTTTTAAAAAGTAATACATGTTTTTGAAACCATTAAGACTGATAGAAAACAAATTTTATAGTACAGAAATTAAATTATATAACTTGTGAAACATGATATTAAATAACCATAGGTAAACATATTCTTTAATAAAGAAAAAAACATCAAAAGACATGGTTTTAGTTTGAAAACAAAAATAACCAAGAACATGTTTTCTTTGTTTCAATTTTAAGAACCAATTCATTTTTTTTCTTTTTTGTTTTGTTTTTAGGAACTTGCAACAAGAAAAGTAATTCATCCATCTTAATGGTCTATACAGGCTCAGGGCATAACCTTCTCTATCAAGCTTCCATCTGTCTTAGAGCCCATTTGGGAGGGTCACTGAACCACATTGAAGAAGCTACTGAAACTAGCTTCACAAGAAAGTGAATTTAATAGCTCAATTAAAGTGTATTTTGATTTTCCAAGGTTTTACAAATAGATATTTACTTTTTTGTAAGTGAACTAGTAAGGGCCCTGTGACTTTTACAATTGGGGAAAGTGAAATTGATTCCAACTGAATCATTAATTCTGGGTTATGTATCGTTATATAAACTTATTGTGTTAATTTTTCTATTAACGTTTATTTTAATTTTTATCATGGTTAGATAAATTGGTATTAATTTTTATTATTCTAAATTGAATTTAAATGAATTTTGCTTTTTATTACTTTTTTCGTTAGATAGATTCATTTTGATTTTTACTAATTTTCATTAGACTTTGTTCATTTTCATTTATTTTAAATGGAACTTAAATATAAATACACCATACAAATAATTTCAAATTAAATGACTAATTTAAAACATCTAATAAAATATTACGCATACATACTAATACTTGTTCACTTGTTTACTATTGTATACTATTAATAATTAATTTTTTATTACTGGTACATATCTAATTTTTTATTAATTTAATATATTGACATGACATAGTTTAGGATCCAGAAAACATACTTCCCATCCTTGTCACCAATTTCTAAGCAACTCCCCATCCTTGACCTGGGTTCATTTTAATATCGGTGACATTATTGTAATTATACAAAATTAATTTCAGAATTTGTCAAATTTGTCTGAATGGGTTCCCTATTGGGTCCCCATCCTTAGGGTCCATTTGGTTCATAGTTGGAATCCGAATTGAAATCAAAATTCTTTGGAATTGGAATTGGAATGGTCTATTCACATAGTCAGTTTGATTCAGACAAGAATGAGAATGGGAATTAGAATCAACAGGAATGAAATTTCGTTCCCAAGGGAGGGACAGGGAATGATCATTCCCTCAAATGGAGGAATTCCATTCCGCAGGAATGGGAATGAAATTCCAATTCTGCCCAACCAAACAGTTGAAATCAGAATATTCCATTCCAAACCCCTATTCCCATGAACCAAACAGGGCCTTAATTCTTTTTTGTGAGAAAAATGAACCTCTATTCCCCAACAAGAGTCTTTGATATCACTCTTATAAATCAGTTGTGACCAACCTAACCCTGCAAATCAATCACTTTGGAAGTAGTGGATCTTAACTCCAAAACCACCTTCTTAACAATTTGAGGCATGGTTTTTAAAACTAACCTGGAGACAGAACCAGTCAGGGGTTTGGTTACTGGGTCCAAACGGACTCATTCTGACAAAAAAGTTAAAAATTAAAAAAATAATAAAAAATAAAAAACGGTCAAAACCATTCAAATGGTTAACCACCTAGGTCAGTGGTTTGCTGACCAAAATCAACGATTTTGGACAAATTTCTGGTTTTGGGGAAAACTGTTCCCGATTTTTCTGATCCGGTCCCATTTTGAAAACCATGATTTGAGGTTTCTTAAAGAAAATCACCTCATCGTTGTCTTCAGCTACCTCTTCATTGTGGTGGGAAATCGTGATACTGATATCAGGAGTGAAAAGCTTTTTTGCAATCAAAATCCTTGTGAGCAGTTCGGATCCTTGAAGCAGACTAGACACTTGATCTCACCACTGCTCTAGTGATGCTCTCTATCATTTTTCCATCTCTAATGAAGCTGAACTTCTAGTTGCTTATCAAAATTAGAGCCTCTGTTGTTAGAGCTAGTGCTTATGACGCTCTATATTTGCATTTCTTGGTTCCTAGGTATCTGGTTTCCTTTTCTAGAAACTTATCTTTCTTCCCAAATGTCTGATCTAATTCTTGAGCCTTTCTGATTCTCTCTACCGGTGGTCTTTGATCTCGACGGCACTGCGTCCATGCACTCTCTTCTCCGTCTTTCTTAGAAATTGAGTGCCCATTTGGCATATCTTTTTGGGAAGATCTTCTGGTAATTCTGACATGCAAAAGACGTATTGAACTTTTGTATGAAGATCTGAACAGCCCGAAGCACATTTTTCTGTGCGTCTTTCCGTATCTTTCCGCATGAGAATAAAACATGAAAGACGCAGAAAGATTCATTTGAAGCTTTCTAAAATCAGCCCGAAATGGGCTTCTTGCTCTTTTGGGCACTCAAGTCTTTTAGCGGCTAGATCTTTTGCGAGCCAAACAGGAATAGACCGAAAATCGGTCTTCCTGATTTATTAACAGCCAAAAGACTGCAAGGAAAGACATGCCAAAAAGGCCCTGAATAATTGTCTTTTGTTGAAAACAAATACCATCGTAAAGGGGTAATATTGAACTTTTTGAAAAAGTTTAATAGTATGTGAAGTCACATACAACAAAAATTTGACGGATTGTTTACGGAAGGGAGAATTTTGTCCGATAATGTCACGCCAAAGGGGAGGTCTTAATATTTAGAAAAAAATGAGGCGAGATTTAAGGCTGAAAAGTTTATGTAAAATCTTTGATGATAAAAATGAGGGGAGGTCTTAGTGTTTAGAAAAAAAATGAGAGGATGTCTCAGTCCATTGTTAACGGAACGATTGTATAATCTTTGATGGTAAAAATCTTTAATGTTTATGTGGATAATGTGTCCAAAGGCTGAAAATTTTTTTGGAAGAACACCATCATAAGTTAGTAGAATATCAACAACATCCATTCCCTGACGAAACCATTACTAAAGAGGGTTTCAATTTACAAACTGAAAAGAATTTTGAAGTTTCACAAAGATATAATTAGGGACGTTCTTTCTAGGTTTAGTTGTAACCAATTGGAGAAGAATGATGCAATGGAGGAAATTCTTTGATTGGTGGTAAATTCTTCGTGATAACAAATTCTTGATGATTAGCGTAAACTTCTTGATGATGTATCGGCCGCAAGTTCTTGATGAACTTTGTTGAATTCTTACATGTTAGATTTACACTTTTTTACTGAATTGAGTTGTTACTTTCGTAGGAATCATTTGGTTTGCAGGAATAGGGGTCTGGAATTAGAACCAGAATGGGCTATTCCGATTCCAACTATTTGGTTGGGCGGAATCAAAATTCCATTCCCATTTCTGTTGGAATGACATTTTTCCATTTGAGGGAATGACCATTCCCTGTCACTCCCTTGGGAATGAAATTCCATTCCTGCTGATTTTAATTCTCATTCCCATTCCTGTCTCAAACAAACAGACTATGGGAATGGACCATTCCGATTCCATTTCTGGAGGATTTTGATTTTGATTCCAACTACAAACCAAACAGACCCTTAAATTGTGAAAAGCTTTCTAGTGAATTGAATTGAATGTCTCAATGGGCCATTTTATTGAGCTTAATCCAAATTAGAAAGCCCAAAGGCCCCAAACAACATATATGCTTGCATAAATAATAAATAGTCATTTAATCTCCATAAATCATTGAATCATTGTAATTAGTATGCTATGCAAGTATTAATTCAGTTAGAACCAGAGTATTTTCAGAGTTTATTTTATTATATATTATAATATTAATATTAATATATTATATAAAATATTATATATATATAAGTATTCTTTAGTTTACAATTTACAGTTTGGTTTAGTTTCTAAAATTCAAATTACAGTTTTGCTTGGCAATCTGAACCATATAATGAACACCCCTAACTGTGACAATGATAATTTGTCATTTATCAAATCCTACCTACACTAGGGTTAGAGGGTTATGGGTTTGGGGAATGGTCCGATGGTCAATCTAAGGAGTAATTTATGTCAAAAATGATATTTTTCTTATTTTTAGAAAGAATAAAAAAATTATTAAAAAATAATTTGTTCTATATATTCCAAATGAGTTTCATGGTAAGAACTATAATATATCTCCATCAAAACTCTATCAAACTCATTGATCTAACACCAATTTGACATATCTTGTAATGAATTTTGAGTAGATTAAACATTCAAACATTGTTCGAAGTAATTTTGGTAAATGTATTGTCTGATATATACATGTTCTAGACTCCCTATATCATTGATTGTGATATAGTTCTTCATATAAACTATTAAAAATGCGCATTTTCTTATATATTTATACCTTATTCATGATTGTTTCAACCTTAAATTTATTATTATTAATGTATTTGTGCGGTTGATAAAAGATTCCCCAAGTATATCAAAGCTTATCTGTATTTTTCGACTATATTCATGCATATCCAAATTACTGAACCTTGATGGATCCATGCACATCTGTATTTGTAACAAATGTAGTAAATTGAACCATAGGCTGGCCTTGCTTCCTCCGAAAATAAATAACCACCGACCTTTCATCAAATGATAAAAGCATGTTTTGAGTAAGGGTTGTAATCTGTAATACTTTTTTTTTTTTTTGACCATTAACCATCCTCTAATTTAGAAACCTAGAAATGTCTCTCTTACAAATATGATAATCTGCCGACTCGAACCCAAATTGCGACAGTAAGTTTACGTAGTTGCAAATTATTTTTGGTTCACATAGGGAAATTAATTCATTTACTTCCCCAGTTTAACTGCTCCCACAATAAGGTGGAAGTGGGACATGGATTGCCTCCAAAATCACTCGAAACAAAAACATAGAAGAGGATCCCTGATTAATTAACAAAAACATCTAAATATAAATCATATATGATGTAACCGTTTCTGTTCACGTACTAATTTTTTTTTTTTTTTTTTTGTGATGTACTAATTATTGGCCAAGTACTTTATCATTTGACCTGCTCCCAGGTGGCTTGACTCAGAGGATGATGGAGCTCCCTGGTAGCGAACTGCCTGGTGGTGAGCTACTTGGTAGCAAGCTCCCTGGTGGTGAGCTACTTGGTGACAAGCTCCCTGGTGGTGAGCTACTTTGATGAGCTGCTAGGTGCGCTGCCTTGGTGGCGAGCCTCCTAGTGTAGTGCAACCCGACTGCCCTCTGCATGAGATGATATGCTCCTCTTTGCTGACGGCAGGAGCTGAATGTCCCATCCTCCCTGCGAGAGATGATCTGCTAATCTTTGTGGACGGTAGGAACTGAGGGACCTACGAGAACTGAATCAGAGGACCCGGGGGTGTTTACCCAACGGAGCTACTCCGATGACTAAGTTAGCACTCCGATAGTAGAGAGTTTGAAGATGATATTAGAGAAATGAGAGATCTAAAGAGCAGGGATTACCTCCATTTTTTCTCTCCTCCCCCCTCTGGGGGCTCAGAGCTTTTATATAGTGGTGTCCTGACAGATCTGGCGCAACCGCCTCTCATTCTCTGCCGCAGCCGTTACTTGCCAGGGCTGAGCTGGTGAGGGCAGGTAACCGTTGCAGGGTACGGCCCTGTCAGACACGAGGCGTTGTCAGAGTTAGCAAGCATGACGCCGCCTGGCCAGAGACGTGGGTGCAGTCTCCAGATCTGGCAGGTACGATTGTGAGGTAGGAAATCTTCCTGCGATACGCCGAGCTACTCTGCAATGAGCTACCTTGCACCGAGCTACTTTTTACCGAGCTACTTTTCACCAAGCTACCAGTAATATGCCAAGGTGTTTCTATCCGAAGCAGGTCTTTGTGGCCTAATAGGAGGCGAGCTACCTGTAAGTGGCGAGCTGCCTATGCCGAACTGCCCGTAAGTGCCGAGCTACCCCTAAGTGAGGAGCTACCTATGCCGAGCTGCCCCTAAGTGGCGAGTTGCCTATGCCGAACTGCTTGTAAGTGCCGAGCTGCCCCTAAGTGGGGAACTATTTATGCCGAGCTTCCCCTAAGTGGCAAACTGCCTAATTGTCAAGAAGCTGCACTTAATTGGCATCAGGTGCCAGGTGTCATAATTTCACTGAAGGGCCAAATCCGCTCTCATCAATATATAATAAGCTCTCATCAATATATAATAATCAATGATCAAAAACTTAGATTCGTTGATAATGAATGTTCATCCATAGTAATCATGAAGATACGGAATATTCTTCAATTTTAGGTAAACTCATCATACATCAGAAACCTAATGCAACATGATCTTTACTAAAAATGTCTAAGATTGATTGACTTTATCATTACATTATCAGTAATAGAACGAATGAATCCCAGTAATTCCCTTAAAAGCATCGAGTGAGTCCAAAGCTGGCAAAAGGATTTTTCATGGAAAATATCAAGGAGGCCTGTATAAGAAAAAGAATGAAGATGATTTATAGGAAAGCTAGAAAAGTAGCAATTGAAAAAACCAAATTGAACGCTATAAATAGAAAAGAATAAAATCCTATCAAATAAAATAACTAAGAAAAACAAATTAAGATAAAAAAACTTTAAAAAATTACTCAAAAAATCACATTTCATGATACAACCAAGAAAGTTTCTTATATACACATTCAACATTTCTAGGCCACTAGTCTTATAGATAAATAGAGACAAGTAAATGCTGTATATCTTCCAATATGTACTGCAACAATAATATTTTACCACAAGGAATTATGGAGAAGTAAAAAAAAAGACGCAGTCCAGGTGATCAAAGAATACACTGGAAGTACATGAAATTTATATTGTACATGAATGTAAATCTGATTTTTCCTTTAAGATAATTAGCTAATTAAACTCTTTTGACCTATTTCATAAGCAGAGAATTTTCAGGGAAAAGACAAAAGCAAACATCAGTTTTTCTTTGTAATGTATGTGAAAGTTCTGGAGTTCTTTCAACTCATGTGGTTCAGAGCTATTCTAAAGGTAGAAAGAATCAAGTTTTAACAATTAAATAAATAAACAGTGTTAGACACTGTGGAACCATTTAAATGCAATTGAGAAGAAAAACATAATTCTAATTTTATGTGATGAGTTCATCAAATGCATATGAGTTCATCATATGCATCTCATCTCAGTCAAATATGTCCTTCATTGGATGGGTTACCTGGGATCCAACCATTGTCATGCTAGGATAAACCTACCAGCCATCTCATAGTGGCTACTTTCTTGGTGCATGTAACAATAGATGAGTTTGCAATATTTTTTTTTTGAAAGGAGGTACACTAAAATTTATTAAATCAGAACCAACTAGAATACCTCCAAGGAACCACCAGCCCCTGGCCAGACAAAAAAACAACACAACAAGATTACAAGTCCCACGAGCTTCTAGATCTCAGCAAAACTGCCTGTCTATGTTGCTGAAGGCCCTTAACAGCTGAGACCAAGGACACCACCTTCCCAAAAGAAAAGAATGAAGCTCCTTCACTTCCTTAGAGGTTTGGTGGAAAATCCTTCTATTTCTTTCAGCCCAAACAGTACTTATCACTGCAGCCGGAACAGAATCCCAGACACATCTCGCTAGCTTGGAGAGGCCTTGAATATTGCAACCTCACAAGAGGTCCAAAACAGTCCCAGGCATAACCCAAGCCACTCGCATTGCAGAAAGGTAGCGTCACTGTCACCAGATATGAGAGACAAAAGGACAGTGTATGAATAGATGACTAGCACCCTTAGATACATGTCCACAAAGAGTACACCACTAATCGTGAATCTGCAATCCCCTTCTTTTCAGGTTTGCCTTAGAAAGACACCTGTCCAGAGCCGCAGCCCACACCAAAGCACTGATCTTGGAAGGCAAGGTAGGGTTCCAGATCTCAGAGGCAGGGACTGGGCAAAAACTACAATCAGACAACTTGAGAGCAAAGGATTTGACAGAAAAAAAAAAGAAAAGCCCATCTAGAGACCATATCCAACGGCATTTCCCAAACATTCATAGTAATCAGCCACTAAATCATCTTGGCCCACGACTAGCTGAAAGCTGTGGGAAGAATCCAGAGCCATTTAGCCAGTAAAGCACTAAAGCCTGATTGCACACCTTTAACCTCCTAATCCCCAGACCCCCCTTTCTCCAGAGGAAAAAAAACCTGATCCCAGCTTACCAAGTGAACCTTTTTTTCCTCCTCCCACCCCATCCAAAGAAAATCCTTTTTTTTTTTTTATTAATACCTCCAAAGAAAATCCCCTACATATTTTCTAGTCTTTGGGCCACCTTCACAAGGATTGGAAACAGAGACAAAAAATAAAGAGGCGTTTGGCAAGTCTTTTTAGGAAGATCTTCCAAAAGCTCAAGACCTCAAAAGACTGATGATCTTTCATAGGTAGATTTTCAAAGACCAAATACCATTTGGTTGCAATTTTTTTAAGATCTTTTCAAAAGCTAGAAAGTCTGAAAGGCTGTTTGGCAAGCCTACTTGTTAGTCCCTCTTACATACATGTTAAGTGTTATGTGCAGGACCCAATAACACATTCAAACATGTAAATATTACTTGTGGGTTCCACTTACACATTTACCTACACAAAATATTAAAATGGGGCTCACTCATGCATTTCCTTATACAAGAAAACAATGTAATCCCTTATTTACACATTGACATATGCAGTTATCATCTATGGGCTCCACCCATGGACTCACCTATACAAAATAATCAATGTGGGACTCACATAGATCACTACATGACAAGTAATATTTTAATATATGCAATTAACTTAACATGAATACTTCTTTCTAACAAATAGTTCAACACAAACAATGCTGATTATGACCTTGAAAATGCTGGAGTGTTGGTTATGTCCTAAACGAAGAAATGGGTCTATAAATTAAGACCTCATCAAAACAATGTTGATAAAAGATCATACAGAAGAAAAATATTTAAAAAAGTTTCAGAAATAACCATTAACTAATTAATGACTAGAAGAAGAAAAGCAATAACAAGTTAATAACTAGAAGAAGATTCAAGAGTGCAGCCACTGGATATTGATGCTTTGCTACTCTAGGAAATATTTATCAGCACCAAAATATTTGTCATACACAAATGTCGTATTATATTTCTGTAAGTTAGCAAACTGATTCTATCTTATGCATTGTTTGTCTACATTGTTTGTTATACACAAATTTGCTGTCTATCCTTGTTGCCATGAAATGACGGATATGAAGGTTTGATTTCAATGTGAAGCCTTCATTTCCTTTTTATTCTTTTTATTTTTATTGTAAATAGTAAAGTGTTATCGATGAAAGCAAAAAGAAAAAAAAAATACGAGAAAGAATAGTTTTGAGAGAACATAGTAACATAAGCAAATAGTGTCTATTAGAAGGAGACTGTACAATGTCAGTGCAATTGATACATCTCTTAGTTTATTAAGTAAATTTTCAGCTTAGTTATTCTTTGATATTAAATTCAGTGGGAATCCTTCTTGAGAAGATCCATATTTCAAAAATGGATGAATGTTATTGTTCACCACGGTGTTTGACTTTAGAAAGAAGTAAAATTATGTTTGTTATTGAAATCTTAATTCCTGTGAATTGTACCACAAAAGAACTAAAATTCTGGCATTATATGTAGTTATTTTTTATGCTTCCATACCTTTTCTGATTCAGAAAACATCTATTGCAGAAGTCGCCTAACGAATTCACAGATTTCATTTTTCAAATTTGATGTAGTGGATAACTATTTGCCTCTTATTTAAATACCATGAACCGGTATTGTTACTGTAAAACAGAGAATCTTCTAGAGGAGGGACTCACACCTATTCCCCAGTTCATAATATATTCAGTACTGAATCAAAATCAACAGGCCAAGAATTAATGGATGCTAACTGTGCATCTGCATGCCCACCACTGTATATTCGATCAGAATCCCTCAATTCCCCAAGTCGACCACAAGGACCCAAGTTCCAAATCCAGAAGATAAGTCCAGATCCAGAACCAAGTAGTCCTGTTTCTTATGAATCTCACCCCCAACCATGTTCCAACGAAGAGTGTGGTCTCTTGGAACTTGATGATTGCTGCATACAGTCTAACTGGTAATAATCACTCATGCCTGGAGCTTTTCTGGAGGATGAATAAGGAGTGAAACCTACTTCAACTACTTTAACTAGCATCTTGATAGCTTGTTCCAAATCAGCTAAGCTACACAAGGGGAAATTTAAGGCCCGTTTGGCACGTCTTTCCGTGCAGTCTTTCGGCTGTTTACAAGTCGGACAGACTGATTTTCGGTCTATTTCCATTTGGCTCGCAGAAGACCTAAACGCCAAAAGCTGGAGCGCCGAAAAGACACAAAAAGCCCCTTTTGGGCTGATTTCGGAAAGCTCCAAATGAAGCTTTTCGCGTCTTCCGGGTTTTATTCTCGTGTGGAAAGACACGGAAAGACTACATCTGCCAAACGTGCTTCGGGCTGCTCAGATTTTCATGCAAAAGCTCAATGCGTCTTTTGACTGTCAGAGATACCAGAAGATCTTCCCAAAAAGACATGCCAAACGAGCCCTTATTCATGGTTGTATAACAAGAAATGAGATAAAAGCTGATATATTCATTTAGATCTCACTTGTTGATCTTTACTTCAAATGTGGAAGTGTTATTTCAGCTAAACATGTCTTCAAGGAGATGGCAAAGACACATATGGTCTCTTGGAATGTGATGATCTCAGGATATGTAAGAGATGCTGGTGTGAAACCAGATTCTGTTAAACATGTCTTTGAGGCCATTCGCATCTTCTTTGACATAAGAGATGCTGGTGTGAAACCAGATTCTGTTACATTCACTAGTATCTTACCTGCATATTCACAACTAGCAGCTCTAGAACAGGGAAAGGAGATCCACAAATATGTCAAGGAGAATGATTCTGAATCTGATGAGAATGTCATGGGTGCTCTCTT